AGTCACTTTAACTTAAACATACGCTATAATTCACAACGATTCACGCACTTTACTACAGTGCTTGACTCAATTGTCCATCTCTGTCTGTCTGCAACTATCTATCTATCTATCTATGCTGTCACTTCTCGCCAGTCTTATATATAAAAAATAGAGGGCATATCTAGCAAATGCTAGGACGTTTGACAGGTTCCTCGATCTTTCTAGAACTCCAGTGCATGCTCCCAGTGTCGCGCAACTTCCTCTGTCATAACAATATGTACTGTTATTAAGATATATTTAAGTGATGTTTTAGAAATTTCATGCAGAATGTTTTAAATGTAGTTTAAATTTTGCATTGAACCAGACCTTCAACTGTTGTCTATTAACCAATGGTCTTGGTTGAAAGTCGATGCTGAAATGTCTGTGCCTTCACACCTGCCTGTTCTGGTTGGCTACTCATTGAAATCAGTCTTAGAAATGATTAGCACTGGATGAATGATATCAGTGGATGAGAATGTTATTAATTTCAGTAGATTAATGTCCATTGGTCAGATCAAGATTATAGTGAGGACTGGAAGATTTGTGAATCTTAGAATTGAAATATACTTTCAGAGAAGCAAGACTTGTCTCTCTCTCTCTCGTATTCCAGGGCTTAGATAAGCTAGAGTAACCAGAGCTTCTTGTGGAAGTGACCAAAAGTCATGGAGAAGTTTATGTAGATGATAAGAATACTTACCTATGTAACATCAAAATTTTCAGTAAAGTGTTTTTGTGTTATTTGTACATGTGTGTTTTCCAGTCAGGTGGTTTCCTGTTAAGCATTGCTTGACAAATCTGATCATTCATCTTGTTATTGTAGTATTTACTTAACTTACCTGTTGGGTAACTATAACTGTATATACTACATAACTGTATGGCAAGGGATATGTTTAAATGCCTCAGGGTAACATTTCTTAATAAAAGTTTGTGAATACAGACAAATATAATTTAATGTAAAAACTTTTATTTATACAGTTATGGGTTTGAGTTTGCTGGTTAATAAAAGGGTAGAACAGGTTAAGATACAAAATTTTGATATTTTTTTAAAACAAACAATATGATAATAATTAAAAGTTTGTGTATAATTTATTTTCATCAATTTTCAAGCAGAACAAACATTTCTAGCCATTAACTTGTTTTTTATTTTCATATAATTATTCTGTGGTAAGTATGTGAGTTAAGTAAAGATGTTCAATTTGCCATTAATGTTTTCACATATACTCAATTACTTCCGTAGGTGAGTTTATTATTTTTTACCGAGTTTAAAACAGTTTCTGATTAATCTCTCCTTAAAAACAAAATAGAAAGTTTGTACTGGACATGACTGATGGTATTGAAAATATTGGAACCATCAAATGGGACTTGGCAGTGTGTCTTTTAGTTTCATGGATTATTGTGTTCCTGTCTCTCATGAAAGGTGTCAAGTCATCAGGAAAGGTGAGCTGATTTTAATTCTGCAAGAAAAGCAAACTATGAAAATAAGTTATTAAACTATATATGCATGAAATTGGGCTTTGTAGCTCTTTGACTTGATGCATTTGATACCTATTATTAACCAATAATGATAAAGTTCTTTAGTAAACCAAAAATATATTAATAAATGGTTTTCCAGTAAAAAGAATTCATCAGCTCTGTGATGGTGATCTTAAAATATGTATAAATAATACTTATCCTTGGTGCATCTTAAGTGTGTGAAACAAAACTATCCATCATTCTTTCAAATGATTACAGACAATTAATATGACAACAAACTATATAAACAAAACCTGTCTGGTTAGGAAATTCTCCCTGCTTTTCTTCCTGGAAGGTCCTTTGTTAAGTTAATAGCATGTCTTAAACATAAATCAGTAGGTAGTAATTATGAACAATAAGAATGGTTAAGTTTGATGAAAACATTGTAACCTTGTGTTTGTAATATCTCATCACTTTTCCATTTATCTTTTTTTTTATAATACTGTTTTGTAACGTGTGAAACTTTTGTTCATTAAATATACTATATTTTTATTAGTATTGTTTTGGTCATGAATTCTGCTAATTTATCTAGCTCCCCCACCAGAAAATTAGAAACATAATTCTTGCTTTATTCATTCAGCATTTGTATATGAATTTATAAGCTTTTTTTTATTCACTTCACAATTCCACAATACTTATTACACTTAATTTTCAATTCTAATAAAAGTTGCCAGGTTTGTCAGCAGCTTAATTTAAAATCTCTAGATACCTACCCTGTGGCTAAATATTGAAAAACATCACTATGGCAGCAGCTTCTTGGATATAGGACATGGCAATTTTCACTCAGGTCATCAAAGAGACCGAAGCAGTCTTGCCAACATCTCCTAAGTGCTGACACAGTGTGAATGGGGTCAACCTGTTGCCACCTGCTGGTAATACTGGCAGCAGGTTATGAAAGAGACTGATGCAGTCTTGCAGACATCCCATGAAACAGCATGGTCGGGGTAAACCAAAATTTACTATTATGGAGTACATGTAGCTGCAAATCTGCAGTATGGCTTAAACTAACCTTATATATATATATATTAAACCCATCAAATCTGACTGTGGGAGCTTGCATATTCTCTTGACTGTAATGACAAAACTTTGAAGACAAATCCATTATCTCTTGATTTTGCCTCCCCTCTAGAAAAAGTTCTGTGGATGCCCATGTCAGCATGATTTCACTGGAGGAAAATCTTGCCTTAATAATCATTTGACATTCTTTAAAGAGGTTATTGCTTATGTATTGCATATGGGTGTGGATTTGGTGTATTTGGATTTTCAGAAAATATTTTATTAGGTGCTACTTAAAAGATTTGTCTGAAAAAATATCTCTGTAGGTGTGGGGGATAGGTTTTTCTCATCTGATAGAAAATTGGCTAGATGGAAAAAAGAAGAGGGTTGTTATAAATGGAATTCATAACAACCCTCTTTTTTTTTCCATCCAGCCAATTTTCTATCAGGATTAATGTCACAAGTGGGATACCTCAGGGCTTAATCTTGGGATCTTTGCTCTTTTTGATTTATATTAATGATATAGATGAAGGAATGGTCAATAAGTTACTTAAATTTGCTGAGGATATAAAGATTTTGAGTATTGTTGGGGGTGAATAGGATGCTGATACTTTACAAAAGGATTTGGAGTTTTTGGTGAGTGGGGAGAATAAATAGCAGGTGGCTTTTAATTATAATAAATGCAAGGAAATATTTGTGGGATATCATAAGTTGAATTATAAGGGAATAACCTTAACAGTGTTATGGGAGAAAAGGATCTTGGTGTTTTGGTTGATTAGTCTCTTAAGCCATTCAAGTGATGTTCTCTTACTAGTGGCAGGACAAATAGGATTTTTGGTCATATCTATAGAAATATTGAATGCAAGCCTCAAGAGGTTATAATTCACTTGTATAAGTCATTGGTTAGGCCATATTTGGAGTATTATGTTCAGCCTTGGGCTGTTTACTTCAAGAAGGGCATTGAATTGTTGGCAAGGATTTAAAGGAGGGTTACTAGGATGATACCAGGGATGGTAAGGTTGTCATTATAAGATCAGGTTAAACTTTAGGAAATTGTTAGGAGCTAGGGACCTGATTGACATATTTAAGATTGTTAATGCAATTTACAATGTTCATGCATCATCTTTTTACTTGCTTATTATGATTGGAATGGAAGAACTAGAGGACACACGTATACATTTTTGGCAGGGTCGGAGCCAGTTTCAGCTAAGACAGCTTTATTTTTGTAATAGGCTGGTTGGCCTTTGTAATTGGAGGCCATCAGATGTGGTGGGTGAAGTAAGTTTAAGAGTTTAAGGGAAGGCTTGATAAATTCTGGAATTATAAGAGCTGGTTTCGAATGTTTTAATTTTCTTGTTTAATTTAGTGAATGGGATGGCCTAGATGAACTAATAGGTCTCTAGTTGTCCTTGAATTATATATATATTATGTTAAGAAGAACAGTACTTTAACAACATGGTGCAATAAGTAATTACAAGCAGTGTGATATATTCTTATTGTGCCTTTTGTTAAGAGCTGAAGTGATTTTATCAAACTATTTATTATATCTTTTTTAATATATCAAGAAACTACTTGAATGCTTTACAAAATGCTAAGCATAATTTTCATTTGGTAAAAAAAAAATTAGTATTGATAAACTTTCATAGATATAATTTTTACCATGTTATGAGATTACATTTTTTTTAAGGTTGTCTACTTCACAGCAACATTCCCATACATTATTTTGATTATACTGCTTGTGCGAGGAGTAACACTACCTGGTGCTGTGACTGGAATTAAATATTTTTTTGTGCCAGAATGGGAAAAGTTATTGGATATAAAGGTGTGTTTCCTAGTATGGTATAATAGTTTGAGCTGCAGATGTTCCACCACTAATACATATTGTTACATCTCTGTATGTTTGTTTGTTAATTCTTCTAATATACAAGTCCTTTTTTTATAAAACTTGTTTATTCTTCCTCAATACAACTTTGTAATGTACTTAATTTTCACAGT